TGTAAGATAAATTTATAGATGTTGATACTCTTGAATGATCTTCAAATTTACTCAGAAGAGAACATATCTTAAAGGGACTCCCCTGTGAGGTTAAAAAGCCTAAAAACATAACATTTGAATTTCTTACATGAATGAGCCGGGACACTTTAAACAGAAATATATGCAAAGACAGTTAGGAAATATACTTTGAAATAAATTGAAAATCATATTTTATGCTTTTCTCTAAGCCCGATTTGAGAGAAAAGTGTTTAAACTCTTTTTATTTTGGGTCATTTCTTTTACAATTTGAAAAAACGAAGTGCGCGAATGATCTGAAATTTTGCATCTAAACCTACATCAAATGGTATATTTATCTGGAAAAAATATTTTCAGTCCCATTATGTCAAAAACCCTCTGAGTGGAGTCCCTTTAATGAACTCAAATTACATAAAAGCACATAAAAACAGTGGTGAATCTTTGTTGTTTAACATATGAATCATCATTTATTAAATCATGATTATGTTCAGTTGTAAATTTACAGTGTTAAATTTTGACTTTGCCAGCCACTGGGGCTTTAATATATGGCGAGCCTTGCCAGTAGGGTTTGATATTAGTAATATTAGTATAAATGACTTTGTGAATAAATAAATAGTCTTCATTATAAACTGAGATGTTAAATACATGAATTTATTTCGGGTAATGATTATGTAATAAAATTGCTCAAATATCGCATTTTTATAATGGTAAAAAAAAACACACACACAACACCTCAAGCATATCTGTATCTATTAGACCATTACACCATTATATGATCAATGATCATACACTGATTTTGAACACTTACCTTCCAGATTTTATCATTATAATATTGTATCACATTACCAACAAAAACTTTTATAGTTTTTCTGAAAATATGTCCTAAAGCAATTATATGAGTGAATATAATAGTTTCAACAAGGCTCTAGTCTATACTGCTGGCAAAGACTTATCAATTTCACTTCCATGCAGTCACCAGGCTCTATATATACTATTTGCAAAGACTTATCAATGTCACTTCCATGCAAGCTGACCAGGCTCTATATATAGTCAGGTTGCACAGAAGTGAATTTATTAGCCTTTGCCAACAGTAATAATGTTGTCAAAGGCTAATAAATTTCACTTCTGTGCAGTCTGACCAGACTCTATACTATTGGCAATTTAGGCCAATTAATTCAGTCTGACCAGACTCTATACTATTGGCAACTTTTAGGCCAATTGATTCAGTCTGACCAGACTCTATGCTATTGGCAAAGGCCAATTAATTCAGTCTGACCAGACTCTATTGTACTGTTAGTGTTAGCAAAGGCTAATAAATTTCAAATTTCAAATTTATGCAGCTCAAATTTCAGTTCAGTATCACATGGACTGGTGAGATTCTTTATAATATTTCTAAATATTATTTTTATCTTTTATTTAGTTTGAATTCTTTAACAATTTCCCAGTTTAATGGGCATATACATGTACAAGTTTAGCTGTTTAGCTTTAAAACATGCACACAATTTAAAATTATTACTATACACATATACTGTAAGGTGAAGAAAGGGGTTTATCTCTTTTTTTATCTGACAATGGGAGATTTATCAATATTTACAAATAAATCAAACATATCTAATAAATATTATCAGTGAGGATTACTTCATTTCTATGTAAAATCATAAAGTTTTGTTCACAAATAATACAATAATACAATCAATTGTACAATATTTATAAATATAATGACATCACAATGCTCTTGTTGGTCCATTTGAGTTATGATTTCAATGCCAAAATTAAACAAATAGACTGCTACCCAGTAACACAAAATCCATTGAAAAGGAGAAATAATCTTAACATTTTACATGTAGTTTAAGTAAATTGTAAAATAAAAGAAAAACACTTATAACTTAATAATGACAGTGACCTGTTCCCACAACTGCAGTAAAAAAATATGTACAGTCTTTAAGTAGACACAAATGTTGAAGTCTAAATCATTTTGACACATTGATTTCTTTTAAATTTAATTAACTGACCGTCTTATTAAACAACAACATTAAATTTCATATATAACTGAGAAGGTATGACTTTTATTTTAAATAATCATAAATTATTATAAAATATGTTTTAATTTCTTATAGTATATAGATAGATATAAATATATTATGCCTAGTATATACATGTAGATTTACACCTCTGCAGACACATCACCTAAAGCCATTTTTTGTAAACAGTCACACTCACACTTCATCCCTCTTTTTACACCTTGTAATTTATGAAATCTGATTGAGACACTTCATCCCCTATTTTTGAATTTGTGTTTGACATAAATGAATGTGAACGGAAACATTTATCTTGTACTAATATGGTTCCCATTGACTAAAGTAAGCAGTGCATAAAATATCTAATTAATGCCATTTTGAAAACAAAAAATGTAAACTAAATAAATGATCATTTTTTATTACTTGACTTCCTTGTTCTTCGGATTTGTCTATTTTCATTTTAAGTGTTGAGGGATGAAGTGTCTTCACAAATTTGAGGGGTGAATGGGCAGCACAAAATACCCAAATACACCCAAATATTGCCTAAATATACCCAAATATTGCCCAATTATACTAAAAATAAATGTTTTATACTAAAAAAGTGCTGTTTTAATCATGAATACAATATACACTTTCACTAAGATATAATCAACCATACCCAAAAATACATTTCCCTTTCATTGTATTTTGAACCAAAATACAGTCTATATGTACACCATCAAAGCTATTTCTTTTAAATAACATGGACACTTGTATATGATATGTATATGATAAAAATGTTAAATATCATATCTTGATTTAAAATTGCAAGTACATTCATAAAGAACCTATATAGTAGATAAGCAAATGTCACAACTTTATTTTCTTACAACATTGTAACTGTCCATTTCAACAGAATGAATGAAAATTATAGTAGCAGACTAAGTCATATTATATTTAATAAACAGTTATTCATTTATCATTATAATAGTAATAGATATATTTTAATACGAACAAAAATAAATGTTGCTATATTTGGGTATTTCGTGCCACCGGGGTGAATAGTCTTATTGATTTATTATTATTCATTTACTTTTTATTAATTTTTCATTTTTTTTTTGGGGAGGGGGGGGGGGAGTGTCTTGATGTGTGAAGTGTGTGGATCAACTCTTTGTAAAATGTAAAATAATACATGCAATTAAGTGGCTAAATTTTGTTGCAACAGGACGTTTCGGCCCCATACCAAATCGGCCCCAGTGTAAAAATCGGCCCCTGGACGTTTCAGCCCTTTTCCGCGAGACGTTTCGGCCCTACTATTTAGTACAGACAATTAATTAAATTAATTAACAACAATAAATTTAATTACAATTATGACCCTTTAATTCTTTAAATAATTAATTATCTTTTGATCTCTTGAACAATTTAGATATATGTACGTTTAGGTTTTTAAAGGTGTAACAAACAATAAAGGCAAGTTAATCCTTAATTTATAAAAACAAACCACTAAAACTTCTTGATTAAGAAAGTTAGTTACAATTATTCCTTAGAAAACATTATTTTTTGATCTTAATTAAACTATGGGCCTACGTATTTTTTTCAAGGTTTAACTAATTAAATGTTCATAGCTTTATGTAAGTAATATCAGAGAAAACTTCAAAAGATTTTAAAAAAAACGGTTTGCTATAATCTCCTGATCACTAACAAAGTTCTATGCTCCTGCGTTTATGAATAAATTATGCAAATGAGCCACGTTGAGCCGCCATGTTGGAGTTTCGGTAAACGTGTTGGAAATTGCTACCTGTTCGTTTTGAAAGCTCGTCCTAACTTACAGTTTCCTTGAATGTAGGAAAACTTGGTTTTGTTTGATTGCATACTGAATGATAGGTATTACAAAATAAATATAGTGAAAATCGATCAATCAATAATTGTATTTGAGCGTTATTAAGTCAATTTAATTCATCAGAATAATAAGATTCTGTTACAGGGTATCGGTAAAAGACTGCTTTTTTTCCCGTTTTTGAAATTTATTTGAACACGGAGACAATTTTTCTCAAACAGGTTTATGAATATACTTTACGTTGCAACAGAGTTTACCGTGTGTCCATTCCTTATTTAAATTGTCTAAGAAGTTAAATCTGTTTCTTTACATGTAAATATGTACCGTCATTTTGACTGACTGGAATAAAAACTATTATGACTGTGATAATACCGGATATGTAATGAAAAGTACGCCGTGTAGTGCAAAGTTTTCGAAATTGCAATTAAAATTAACACTTACGTTGATTCAAACTGTTCCTTGTCAGCAAAATTGAAACCGAAAGTAGTGGTTGTTCTAGAATTTAATCAAATAAAATGGGTGGGATTTAACCCTGTGCGAACGTATTGTTTACATCCGGTCGTAGCATAGGGTAAGAGTGCAAACTTTGTTAGTGCTGATAATATATTTAATTATTATTGTTATTAGATAATGATCGATGCTATATGTTATAAAAGTGATTGAAAGACTGAAACCAAATTATAAATGCTATGTACCTGCTATATATTTATTAATTAGTTTAATCAAGCAATGTTGACAATGACAAAAGAATTGTAGATATTATGGCGTCTGTTTTCTTTTCATTGTAAAATTACATGACCGAATGTTTCGATTTTCACGTGCATGAACAACTAACTTTCCTTATCTGATAATTAAATGTGTTAGATTTTACAATATCAAGGAAATAATTACGAGTAGCTATTTATTGTGAGATATTTATAAACATTGAAGTTAACATTAAATGCAACTTAAATGCAATGTTAATAATAATTTATTGTTCATGCTGCATTTCATTCATAGGTTCTTTACAAATGTTTTGTAAATCTGTACACAAATATCCATGCCTATTGAATGATCATCACAAAACAAAATTTCAATTACTTGACTAAGACCTTGTTTGAAAGGGTGTGTCATTTAAAATAGTCACGAATTTTCAATAGAAATATGTTTACCTGTCCATTTAGATGTAAACACAGCCAATAAAGTTGTTATAAAGTATACTTTCAACCATATTTCCATTTTGATTGTTCACAAATATAACGCAAAATCGTTTCGTTATACCAGCCTACCTAAATATTTACAATTGAAGTCACTATTTTAAAATAAATTGATATTTTCTCCAATTAAATATCGTCTATTTTCTGACTCAAAAATACTTCCTGTTTCGGTATGACGCATGCGCGACTTGTCTTCCGTCCATTGACCGTACCATGCCGTACAAAATCACCGTTCCATACCGTTCAATAAGTACCTTTACTTTCGTTCTCGGTTCAAAAGGCTTGAATAAAAAAAATAATAATAATAAACTTGGGATGGCACATTTGTTATAATTTTATCGGATATATATTATAAAATCTGTTCAATAAAACAAAGCTTTTTCTTATATAATCATTCGACATTTAGATTTCTTCAGAAAAAAGTTTATAATTAAAGTAACAAATACGCTTTCAAACTTTGTATAATCATTATTATGATTTTTCTTTTTATATTTTATTTTCATTTTCATTGTAAGTTGTATGTTCACATCATTGCCACTTTACGTCACAGACACTTTACTATTTATTATTATTTTTTTTATAGTCTCATCTGCATGTGCACAATTAATTACATACATTTCAACATTAAAGATAAACATTACATTGTACATAGCCATTCCTTGAGTAGAATTACAAAGACTTAAGATGTTTTACATATTTTACAATTAAACTTATAGTATAGTCTGTTATATTACGTGTATGTTTTGATAATATTCTTAAATATTGTTGGTTTCTCACATGCTCAGTTTGGCCTCAAGGTATAAACACGGAATTTAATTGACAATAAAAGTCTCTGGTATCTATAAAAACTTGAAACTTGCTTAAAGGAACATGAAAAGCTTTGGTGAATAAAACAGTACGTTTATCATAGGCCTCGCCTTTTTCACAACACTGCTTAAGAACAACCAAATATATTTTAAAATCACTGTTTGTAGGTGATACGACAGGGTAACTTGCCTTTACCAGCTTACAATGACTTCATTGACCCACCATTGAAGAGTACCTGATGAAATTCGAATGTTTGGTTAACTCAAACATTCAGATATCCAGGCACTCTTAGCCCTATGATTCGAGCATTACAACAACATAGCATTGCACTGAAATAACAAATTGTACAAACTTTAAGAGAAAAGATTAACAAGAGGGAGTAACGTCCATCCGTGCTTCCATGGAACGCTGACGATAAAGTCTTTTAAAGAATTTTACATTCTTGCACTGATTTATGACCGGAGAATTCATTGGGAATTTTACCACTAAATTGTTACACACGACAGGACTTTTCTGGAAGGTCTGAAAAAAAAAGGGTAACAATTTATTGGTAAAAGCATATCAATCGCTCAATCGAAAGGGGAAAAAATGTTGATGAAAATTATAGATCTATCTGAAACAGAAAATATCAACAATTATAGTTAAAAAACACAGAAGATTGAGGATATGTAAAAAGATTCCCGGAGAACAGAAAGGAGACGTGTGGCACGTGTTTATTTTTAATCTGACTGTTTAATGCAGTGGATTTGTTTTGGTGCCAAAATAGCGGGTATATTTGATCACATGCAACGATTCGCTGTGCATGTGTTGACGAACGTTTGTCCGACTGTATGAATAAAATGATCTCAAACACTATTAAAATTATTTAAAGTGTGTTTAAATAGAATAACATTATTGTTGTCATTATGCTACCAAAGTTATATCTTTGTCAAACTCTAGCGTTTTAAACGTTTGTATACCCTTTGTTTAATATTGTTTTCGCATCTCACTTTATATTTGTTTATACATGTACCATGGATACTTCATTCTATGTTTTTATGTGATGCATCATGAAATCATTAAATTGGTGACATATAGGCCCATTGGGTTGGGTGCTATAAATGTACATAAATATATATGATTGCATATGTACATGTCACAAATTAATAACAATTTACTTACTTACTTTACTTTACTTTGCACTTACTTTTACATTACTTTTACTTTTTTTTCTTAACTTCACTTTGCTTTGCCTTACCTTCCCTTACATTACCTTGCCTTGCCTTGCCTAAACTTACCTTACCTTACATTACCTTACCTTTCCTTACCTTACTTTACCTTACCTTACTTTCCTTCGAACAATTTAGCTAAAATTCGACTATTCTATTCATTAAGACTATAAATACACGTTCTTAAACAAAAGAATAACTGACAGACAACAAAAGATAAATTCTTCGCTCCGACGACGCCATTCATTTTGTCTCAAAATAAATCACGTGCCTATGATAAACATTAGCATTGCTTAAAAATAGGATAAATTAACGAGAATAATCAATAAGCTGGTAAAATAAATGAGTTAATCGTGTAATATTTAGTGAAAATTTTGGAGTTTGTTAAGAAATGAATACAAGGAATTCAAATATTTTTTTGTAAAAGTGAATAAAGATACTTCCTGAAGAAATGGTGTTTATGTTGATAAAATAATTAACTAGCACGTGGAGCATTTCATGTTCAAATAAACAACAACAACAACAACAAAACAACAACAAAAGCAAGGAATCAAAATACCAATGTCAAACACTCTATTGTACAAGGTATATACAGGTATGCGATATATTAAACCGTTTCTGATTCTTCTTTTTTATTAAAGGCACATACTGCCTCATAAATAAATACATTTTTTTAACAGCAAACATAAAACGTTAAAATAATGGTTTTAAGTATGTAAGAACCTGAAGAAAGTTGTAATAAATGTGAATATATTTGTTATAAAAGTAGCAGAATTTAAACAAAGTATAGTATTTTGACGCCATACAAGATACTAAATCTGTACTAATTGCCAAAAGTGCAACAGATAGAAAAGATGATTCAGGTTGTTGGCCAATAAGTATCATTTTGGAAACTATATCTGTACACCAGCGATTTTCAGCTCATTCTCTCACTACAGGAACTTGAAATTCTATCAATATTTATGATAATATCAAAAATATACCCCTATACAGTTTTTTTATACTGTGTAGGGGTATATTTTGGATATTATCATTAATATTGATAGAATTTCAAGTAACTGTGCCCTCACGATGTTTTCCTCCCCAGGAATAATGATTTGAATCGACCACAAAATATAGAAAAAACGTTGCCACGATTTTTGCTTAAGTCAGGCTAATAATCCCACAAAAATCGATATTCAATTTAATTCTGAGTATTTTTCCTTATGACTTTTTTGCAGAATTTCCCATTAAAAGTGGATACTTTGATCAATATAAAATTTTCTAATTTTATCTTTTTATGCTTTTGACCTCTGTGGAACTCCTCAAGAATATTTTGTATTTCATATATTGGGTCCATGACGCTGCGTTTAATAATTATATATGTTCATATATCATTTGAATTTATTTTCAGTTCTTTGTTTTTGCACATGCGCAAAGAGTGCATGTACACCAGAGTCTGTGAAAGATGACCTTGACCGATGTTTAAGGTACAATCGAATGTTATCGTACTACATGTTCCCAATTGTCAACGCTACCGACTACAGGAATCTTTGTTTGTAAGTGTGCGTTATTTTACTGCAATAATAATAATAAGAAGAATAATAATAATAATAATAAAAATAATAATAAAAATAATAAGAAAAATAATAATAATTACAAAAAGATACATGTATATACTGCATAATATAATAATCGTTTTGGTTGTTGTTGTTGGTTTTCTTTCCTTTTTTGTGGGAAATGGCGGAAATTGAATTACAGCATATATCAAATGTTAAAACGTATTTCAAATGAAAAATACTGCAGTTTACACGGTTTTGGAGTGGTTGAAGGTTGTAGAGTGGGTAAGGGGCGGGGGAGGGGATGGAAGTGACCAATCAACACGCCAAACATCTGCTATGCGTTTTACATTGGAAAATATGCTTTATAATTTTGTTAAGTTTCGGTATGTGCGGGTAGGTTGTACAGCGCCAGAAAGCACCTTCTTGTATTTTATACTATTTAAGGATCATGATTCGAGCTCTGCTGGCCTTATATAGTACCATAGTTAGTCCAAAAGAAGAAGTGAACTCGAGAGTGACTCAAGCCTCCATCACAGTTGTGCTAAAACAAATATGTTCTAATTAGCTTTGAAGCAAAAACAAAAAGACAACAAAACAAAAAAACAACAACAACAGCAAAACAACAACAAAAAGCAACAACAACAACAAAGAAACAGCAATCGTTGATTAAATGTTATGTCTTTTCTTTTTTACTTGTAAGCGGATGTTTATAAATTTAAAATTGCACCGTTTTCAATCTTAAATGTTGAATTCTGATTAAACTGGTGCTAGGGGGCGTGGGCGGTAACTTGCAATTTCCCGTGCCATCCAGGAGAAGGCTCAATCAAACCAAGCCTGCAACATTTTCAGGTTTCTCGTTTTGGGCGTTCTCTCAGGATTCAGTTTTTCTCTATTTTTATATTTACATGTACGTCAATATTTTTATTTCTCAAATATTTTCAGTAACACTACGTGCCTAACGTACTGTATGGAACTTGTAGCGGAACCATGTATGTCACATGATCACACTATTCACATTGGTAACGGTGACGCACTGACGGCCGCGTATCTAGGACTGTGTGACCAGATCGAGTCTGGTAAATTCTTATTATTTTATTTACAATAATTTACGGCTGTGACTTAAAAAAGGATTGGAGCACCACACTAAATACCGTATTCCGGTATATACCGGACAAGGCGCTTGAATGATAAAATGCTAAAATCTTGTCTTTTTACCCAACGGAATGAACTTTAACAGGTCTAATTCATCTTTTCACACCGAATCAAGTACGATAATGAAGGAAAAATGTAAAATTCGGCGAAAAAAACTATATTTGTCTATTTTGTGATCATGATCTCTGCAAGCGTCTAGAGGTACTGCTCCAATCCTGTATTGAGTTAAATCCATAATTTACTATAATATTCTAAGTTTATAATACTGCACGTTTGTAACGTCGCTTTTCATTGGATAACCGTGACGCTTATATAACCTATATACACGACTGTTGTCATTTTTTTCCTTTTTATCTCAAATCTGGAATAAAAATATGCTAAATGTTTTTGTCCCAGCTCAAATGAAGTAATTTTTGCTTTATTATTATAGTTATATAAATTCGTTTAAAGATTTTTGACAAGTTATATGACCTTATACATAGCGGCTCGGGTTATACACGTATATACAAACAACCGCTTATATAGAGCCATATAACCTTTAAAAATTGTTTATAACTAACATATACAAGTAAAGCATTATACAAGTAAAATGGTTTCCTGCGGTGAACATTTTAATGATATAAAGATATTTCATTTAACTATTTTCAACATTATTTGGGGGGAAAAGGTTGACAATTGAATAAACGATAAATATAGAAGAAGGTCTTTGGAAACTGGTGACCGTTGAAGACCGGAGAAGGTCGAACATACAACAATTATTTCTTTTTAAGAAAATGATTAAATAGGCCTACCATTTTATGAATAATTCCGAGCAAAAAATAAATTAAGTAAACACACAAGTTTACGCAGAAATATTTCTATTTATTATTGCAGATTCCACTACGAATATTTTAATTTTGTAGATTTTCAGTATAAATTAACAATTTATTGTTTGTAAAATTTGATAGATATTTAGAAACATTGATAATTTTCAAACACAACATTCAAGTTTTTCTACCTTAAACGGTAAAATAGTTATAGAAAATTAGAAATATCCCGTAATAGTGTTTTGTTCTTAATTAGGTGTAATTCGGACTAATTCCGGCAAACGGTATTTAGCTAGGTTTTCGAAAAGGTCTATTAACCAATCATGTACGGTTTACAGATCACATGCTCCTCCATGTACCGAAAACAGGTCACGTGCTCCTCCATGCCTCAAAAGTTAAACGCGTACCAATACCCTGCGGTCTCCAGACCGCAGGGAATGATAAAATGCTACAACAATCTTACACCAACTGCCGGTGCATGCAGGGATATCTGGCTGAAGGGTACTAGTAAATGTTGGAGGTGGCAACTAGGCTTCGTCGCGTTTACAAGTACATGTACTAACCAATTACAGTTGTTTTATAGATCTACGAGCTATTTTTGATCGTTGTATTAGCTACGAACGTTTAATCTGCGATCTATTTTAATAATTGTATTAGCTACGAACGTCTAAACTGCGAGCTATTTTGATAGTTGTATTTGCTACGTTAGCTATTTTTGATCTTTGTATTAGAACTTTTTTTCGATGAAATAATATTTGTTTATGGCCAAGAAAAATAAACTTATCTGTCTATTAATTATTGTAATAATTTTGTACGTATATGAATATTTTACAGAGGTCACGGACGCTTTAACTTGTGGTAGTACGGTTTCGGACCAGGACGTCTGGACCGCAATAAGAACGTTCCAGACTTCACTTGAAAATTCCTATGCGACCAGCACTGAGAATACAACAGTGATCTGCTCGTAAGTTGTCATGGTAACTAACTTGTCCTCTTGCCATAGTTTCCGTGTTTTCTATTGAAGAACGTTTTTGTCACGCATCCCATTGTGATGTCATTATCTTAAATAAATCGAATTTAGGACAACCACTGTATTCGACGCAAATTAAGCCCCCAAAACGCTGATTATTTTTACTTTTCTAAAGCTTCTTATTTTCGTTGTCCTATAATAGTTGTAAAAAGTAACTCATTGGCAATTATCCCTTTCCGTCCTTTGCTTCTTTTGCATTTCGGAAATTAATACACTTATGGTATTTTAGTATTTTGTATGGGAGCAAAATGCCACTTTACTTTTACTTTACGTTTACTTTTTGCAACAATGCGGTAATCCTATCTTACTACACACATTCAACGTTATTTTGATCAGATGTTAAGAATTTTTCATGTCATGTTCTAAATCTATTGTTGCAACATAATAAATTACATGTTTATACAACAGAACAAAAATATTCATTTGGTAGGCATAATGTGCCTTTGAACTTAAAACAGTTTGATGTCATCCGGGAATACAGCCTGATAATTTCAGTAAGCCATATTGTATCAAATTTGTCCGATATAAGAATACACATCTCTTTTTCTAAAAAAAAGCAACAAATCTTATAACTGCCTTACCTTCAATTACTTCATGTATAGTAATTGATGAAAAAACAATATCTGACACAAAATTGTAATTGTTGAACGATTTTGAATGCTTCTTTCTCTTTTTAGACGTGATTTATATAGTTGTATGTGCTATAAGCATTGTAATATGTTTAATGCATAAGCATTGTAATATGTTTAATGCAATAAAATTATTGTATTGCGTAATATATCACAGTGCTATACGCGTATGTATATATGTAAATAAATATGTTAATAATGTTAAGGTGTTAAGGTGGTCAGTTGATTGTTACACCTTATTACAATACCAACGTGTTGTTGTCAGCTGAATTTTGTTACACTTGCCAGCTTGTGACTTTTTAATTTAAATAATGACAGAACTTCCAGCTATACGTACACTTTTAAAAGTCCTATCATTGTATGTGCTTTTTATTTTATAAAATTTATAATTTTCATATCAATCTTTAACTATTTTAGTTGTTATTATTTTAATAACATTGTTGTATTATGTGTATGATATGTAATGTGTATAATAAAGTGAAACATAAACACAAAAATCTTTTTCATTATGGATGTTTATTATAGATCTAAATACATTATGTTCAGATACCAGTGAATAAGCGTATCATTACAATCATAATGAAAGATGAAATTCAATATACTGACAAATTCGATATACTGACATATCCTTTGGGAACCAACAGTGTCGTTGTAATGAGTCCTGACTGTATACATTTAAGCTGCATGCATCTAGATGAGCAGGCTATTTTTCAGAAAAATGTACTAAGGTTTTCAGGAGAATAAAAAGATTGAAGTGATAATTCACATGTTACGTGCGATTAATGACTTTTTTGCAGTATTTTTTCCTCCATATTTCTACATCCTGACTAACACAATAAGGGTTACTTGTGTAACTTTGACCCATTTTTGGTAATTTACATGGATTGTATATAACTGCCGTTTGCAATGTGTAAATTACTCTCTTTGGTAACTTCACAGTACTTTTACTATAAGATACCTTTTCATTTTTTTTTCATGAAATTTACGTATAGCATTAATCTTGAGGTATGCTGCTTAAAGCTGTTGATTCATGCTAATTTTCATGAAAATTTTGGAATTGTGTTCGAATGTTAGTAACGCAATAGAAATATACATGTAGTTGTAAATACTGAAAAATCAGTCATTAATCGCACATACGATGTAAAACATTACTTGAATCTTGAAACTTTTTTACTTTTCGTTACATCTTAGTACATTTTTCTTAAGCGTGATTTTATTGAAATATATTGACTCATATGTTTAAAATATTCTCATTTAAATATATTTTACAGGGAATGGTTGACCCTTAAAGCGACATTAGGCAGTTTAATAACTGGTGTGTGTTCAGGGACGTCTCTCACACATTGGCAAAACTTTTTAAACACTGTTTCTCATAAGTGTGACAACAGTCAGCCGGGTACATGGTAAGTTTATGATATAGGTATTGCTATTTAATGTCAACTGAACGAGTATCAATGAAACAATCTCCGGTATGATGTTTAGTTAATTGAAGCAATAAATCATTATGGCGTTCGATCTCAGTGCTCGGGTTTGACACCTGCGTCCATTCAGACTATTGTTCAGATCTACTTATTTCTTTTATGTAGCGGAGCATTATTTAGAGTTGATTTTAATCAGATTGCAACAACGTCTTGATATCATTTTGGTAAATTTTGTTGAAAACACTATGGAATAAGCCATACATTTTGACTCCCGTTTCACCAATGTTCATCTATTAAAATTGAATAAATGTATTGCAATGACCAGTGTCCAAGACTTTAAAGAAATTTTCTCATCAGTTCAGAATCTAATTTGTTAATTATCTCGTGTCCACGACTTAATTATCTCGTTTCCACGACATAGTAACTCGTTGCCACGACATAGTATCTTGTGCGCAACACGTAGTTATGTCGTGGCCTCGACTAAGTAACTCGTGGCCACGACTAAGTAACTCGTGGCCACGACATAGTATCTCGTGCGCACGAGAAGAGTAAAAACATACATATGTCACCTCTGTGCCACCGTAAAACTCTTGATGGGTTAGAATGCCACAGAAAATTTTCAGTGACCAATGAAAATCCTTAAATTTAAGACAGAGCTCAGAGAAAACACCAAGGCCAGATCAAGTAATGAAGTGAAGTATGTTCATAGATAAGAAAAGGCAGAAAAAAGTCACACATACTAGTATATCTTTAAAATATTTTCACACTTTCGGAAATTAAAATATATCATTTACCTAAACACTCATTGAAAGTACACGAAACTGTGGAATATATTTATAAAGCTAACTCATTTAATTTATTTCTATTATTTAGGTACACATCCTATAGACAAACAACAAACGACAGATGTTCTGGCAGTGGACGACTATTTCCTAATATATACTTTATACTGTTGTATCTGACAATAATTTTATATTCTGAAATGTTCATAATGTAACAGTTATTACAAATATATAAAGAACGGACATTGTGTTTTACATTAACAACAAGCGTGGCGAATGTACAAATATTTCAAAATATACTGTGATTTTGTTTCTTGAAATATGCGCGTTTCTTTAAGCGAATAATTAATTTTGCCCATTACAAAGGTTTTAATATGTTGGATAAGTCTGGCATTTAATGTAATGTAAAAACATCATTTCCTACTATCGTATTTTTAGCTCTACTATCTGAAAAATATGAAACACTTTTGTACTCACCCAGGCGCCACACTCTGTTTAAGTTTTTTGAAGTTGGTATCTCCTAAACTAACAAAAGGGAAAACGGGTTCAAACTTCACTCACTTATTTGAGAGCATAATAGAAGTTCACTGTCAAAGTCCCATAACTTTAACGTAGATTTTGACAAAAATATGCCCCATTATGCTCTTAGAAAATTCTACATTATCCAGGCTCTTATTTTACTATCAAGCACTGATAAAAGTCGAGCACACTGACTTGCTTACCTGAACAATAAGCTCTTACATAAAATGACATCATATATGACAATTTTGTTCATAATTTGTAAAACTATTTTCTGCATATATAAAAGAATCAAATTAAATAAAAAGTTATATAAAATTTAGTGTGTTTGAAAATGTGTTTTTTTATCTCCTGATTTATTCTCTTGAAGTTTTCCTCGCATTTAGATGAAAGTGCAATGCACAATCCCAAACTTAAATATATCTTATACTTGACTTTTCATTGTGAATGAGTAACATTGCTACACAAAGATTAAACCGTTGGAAAATAAACGAATTTTACAGTCGGACAAAATGTTAAAGAAATACACTTCAGCCATTCATTTCTCAACGTTTATCCACTATTAGCGGAGCGGGAAATAAGGTCTCTCCTGTCAAAATAGTGCAAATTGTGATACAAGCATGAAACTTTCAGGAAATCATCTTTAGATTATAGAGATTCCAAAAGTGAAGTGGGTCCAAAAATATCTCTGCTTATCTAAGATGACCGCCATTTTCAAGATGGCCGCCTTATAAATTTGACGTATATAATAGCTCATTCAGTGAAATTTTTGTACAGGCCTGAAACCTACACTAAAGCATGTATAAAGTTTCTCCTTTACAAAAATTCAAATCTTGAACAAAATCAGCGTTCATACCTCTTCAGAATTCAAGATGGCGTCCAATATGGCCGCCGATTTTATGCAAAACTGATATATCTCTTTTGTCATATAATTTGGATCACAAATTATGCATATTTCGATAAAAAAGTGTTTAACCATATCAAAGATAATCAAATTATATGTAAGTCAAGCTTTTTAAGTTAGTTATCCAAAAAGTATCTTTAAAATATTAAAGAAAAAGTGCCAATATTTGCATATTTTTCTAACATGGTTTCTAATAGGTCTTTGTACAAAACTCAAAAGTTACTTAGTATATTAAATAGTGTATTTGGTATTTAATTAACACTATGCGTTTATTGTAAACATAAAATCTATGGGTTTTATTTTTTGTCAAAGTTTGTGGAGTAAATTTATCTGATAATTGAAAAACAAGAACAACGAAATTTGTAATTTAATTTTATTTCTTTGATGTTTGTTAAACTTTCTATGAATTCTTAGGAAAATATTCACTGTTAAAAACTTTTGTTTTTTAAAGGAATTTTTGTCTTCATTCAGGTCTAGAGGGCGTGCTAAAATGCACATACATTCATGTGTATACAGTCGGTTGTAAAATTTGTTTGCAAGATATAACTTGTTTCAATATTCTTGATATTATCAGTTAATTGTAACGATAGTAGACTGAATATACATTAACAAAGCATGCGTTAAATATTGTCTTATTTACGAATACAATTAATTCCTTCACAATTTCTTTACGAAAAGATAAAAATCGCTTTAAAGCCAACACAATGAGAAAAATGAATTTTGCATTAGATATCGTAGTCTTACTGAAGGCTTGTTACAGTAACGTTACGATTCAAAGTTATACCTACTTTCATGTCATGGTAATTAGGTATAATGGAATTAACACTGTTTCTAGAATAACATATCTAGACATGGTATTTTCAAAAGATACACAGATAAATTAAAGCGACTGATACATCATATGATCTATAGATGTGTAGTGAAATATGTGTATCAATAGTATCGCTTGACCCACATATATTTGCTGATGATTTGAAATATAAACTAACTGTGTGTCAAAGATTATTCAAATTTCATGTTCCCCATTAAACATTCCTTGACCATTCACCTAAGATCCACTGCAGGATGGAAAATTGCCATACTTTTAAGTACAGAAGTAAGATAAGATCATGCTAGGAGTATAAAACTTTTTCACCACATACTGTTATGATTTATGAACAATTTTTGAAGGTTCGCTTCCAAGGAAACATGCCCAATATCTAGGTACTCATAGGAACTATATCACACAAGAAGATTTGGTGCTATGTCAATAATTCATAATTTTTATAGAGTATCACAGAGTGATTTTTCATGATAATTTTTCGGCTCTTGGAAATTTAGTTTTGGAGAAGATTTTTAAGACAGTTTTAAGTCTATGCAAACATTAGAAACATTCCAGGGAAAACAATTTTAGACTGCAAGAGCATGAATAAGGGGCCTGCCATGAGCGGCACTTAGTTTTGAAAGACTTATTTAGGAAATCATATGTAAGGCCTCTTTTAGATACCTTCAATGCCTATAACTTAGATATTCAACATACCGGTATAACATTGTCAAGTAGAGAAGACCTCTTTAAAAGTCTCATCACTTAGTGTACATAGCAAAAATGTTTAAAAAGTCTTCTCATTAAGCAGAATGCACAGAGCATAGAGCATAGATACTAAGCATGTACCATCATCTTGTGTCTTTAACATATTGAATGAATCTTGCTCATAGAGCCACCCGGGTTTATAAACTTGTGCAGGAAAACACAATGAGAGAACTGCTAGTGTTAAACTAAATGCGTAAAATTGTTTGATGTCCTGCAGTCATAACCTTGCAATAATAGTTTATATGGACTCATATAGTAATATTAATAGTTATTTAAGTCCTCTCATGAGAAACAATTATGAGAAACTGGATTTTAAAGCATCCTTACAATATTTCACAAATCATATATGTTATGACAAAACTGATACACGCAATTAACTACGTTTATAAAGAATTGTGACCTTTTCCAAATGATGGTGTGTAATTTAGGGTCATCATTGCCCTGTTAAAAATTGATATGAGGATATGTATAAAATTCCTTTATGTTACGCGTCATCCTCCCATCCCCACCCACGGGGAACCGAGTGGAGTAGTAGTGTGGCACGTTCATATTTTTCGTCTGCAGGGTTAGTAATTTACAGTGGTTTTGTTTTGGCGCCAAAATGCCGTAGCGGGGATATTTTGATCACATGCAACGGCTCGCTGTGACGAACGTTTGTCCAACTATATTAATAAATCATATTTAAAATTTAATTTATTTGATCTGAAACACGGTTTTATTAATAAAAGGTGTATTTTTAAGATAATAATGTTATTGTTGCGATTATGCTACCAAAGTTTAATATATAGTATATTTATCAAGCTTTGTATAGAGCGTTAAACATTTGTAGCCTTTTATAAATATTGTTTTCGCATTAATTAGAACCACCTCACTTTGTATTTGTTTATACCATGAACACCACATTCTATGTGTTATACGATGCATTATGAAATCATTAAATTGGTGACTTACAGGCCCATTGGGCCGGGTTCTATGATTATATATATATTATATATATATATACATAATTGCCCATATAAATGCACACGCCACAATAATATACAATGTACACATTTATCTATATAGAACAATTCAGCAGAAATTCGACACGCTTTCACTATTGAATTAGTTTAAGACTATAATTATACGTTTTGAAACAAAAGAGTAGCTGGCAGATAACAAAAGATAAATAGTTCGCTCGGATGACACCATTCATTTTTTCTAAAAATACATTACGTGTCTATGAAAAACATAAACATTGCTTATAGGATTAATTAACGAAAACAATCAATTAGCTGGTGAAATTAATGAGTTAATCATGCAATATTTAATGTTAAATTTGGAGTAGGTTTTAATATTCAGTTTATAATAAATGTTACGCTGTATTTTTTTTTTGCTGAAAATAAAATTTCAACATAGTTGTATAGTTTGAAATAAAATACGGTCTAAAGGAATGTTTGATCGCCTTTGAAGAAATGAATACAAGGAATTTAAATTGTAAAAGTGAATACAGATACTTCTCAAAGGAATGGTGATAATGTTGATAAAATAACTAACTAGCTATATAGCACGTTGAACATTTAATGTTGAATAAAAAAAAACAACAACAAAACAACAACAACAACAACAAAACAGTTGGAATCAAAATACCAATGTCAAACACTCTATTATACACGGTTTATACAGGTATGTTATATATTTATTTCTTTTTATTCTCTTTTATTTCTCATATACATAAATCATAAATTTTAATTAAATAATGGTTTCATGTATGTTAGGTGCTTATAACATGAAGAATATGTAGCGCTGAATGTGAAATTATCTGTCATAAAAGTAGCAGAATGTAAACAAAGTAGTATTCTGACTTCCATACAAAATACTAAATCATTATATCTATACTAATTACCAAAAGTGCAACAGATAGAAAAAAAAAATGATTCAGGTTGTTGACCAATAATTATCATTTTGGAAACTATAACGGGACACCAAATATTTTCAGACCATCCCCTCACCCCGTCCCCCCAGGATGATGATTTGATTGTGCAAATCGATCACAAAAAATGAAAAGCGTTGCAACGGTTTTTGCTCAAGCCAGACTAAGAATCGCACAAAAAATCGATATTCAATTTAATACTGAGTATTTTTCCTTATGCCTTTTTGCAGAATTTTCCATTAAAAGTGGTTCCTTAGATCTATAGAAGATTTTCTTATTTTATCTTTTTATGCTTTTTGACCTCTGTGGAACTCCTCTAGAATATTTTGTATTTCATATATTGGATATTTGACGCTGTATTTGATTATAATATATGTTTTTTATTTTCAGTTCTTTGTCTTTGCACATGCGCAAACAGTGCGTGTACACCAGAGTCTGTGAAAGATGACCTTGACCAATGTTTAATGAACAATCAAATGTTGTCGTACTACATGTTCCCAATTGTCAACGCTACCAACTACAGGAATCTTTGTTTGTAAGTGTGCGTTTATTACTGCAATAATAAAAAATAAAAAAACGATACATATTATACATAATACATAATATTATACTAAAAATACATATAAAATACATATATGTATGTTTTTCTTTTCTTTATGGAGAGGTAAGGCGGCCGGGGGGGGGGGGGCGGTTAGTGACCAATCAACGCACCAAACACCCGTGCGTTTTACATTGGAAACTATGCTTTATATTTTTGTGAAGTTTCAGTATTTGCGGGTAGGTCTTACAGCGCAACAAAAGCACACTCTTGTCTCTTGTATTTTATTCTATGATTCGAGCGTTACTGGGTCAGGACCACGTTCCCTCATACGGCATGTGTGTGATGGGTTTATTTACCCTCGCCACCGGAATAAAACTATATGGGCGAACATATGCTGCATTTATAATAGGAAAAACTGTACTTAATTAAATCACTGCATATTTGACGCATGAGTGCCTTCCCGAAATCGGCAAATAAAATTACAGTAGATGGAGCCGGAAAAAAGTGTCCCGCACTTGTATGGCACCATAGTTAGTCCAAAGAAGAAGTGAATTCGAGAGTGATTCTTGCCTTCATCACAGTCGTGCTAAAACAAATTTGGTGTACTTTTTTTAAAATAATAATAATAATAATAATAATAATAATAATAATAATAATAATAATAATAATGATAACAATAATAATAATAAAACAAAAAAACAAAACATAAATAAAAAAACAGAAAAAAAACAACAAAAAAACAGACGTTGATTAAATGTTTTGCTTTTCTTTTCTAATAGTTATCGGATGTTTCTAAAATAAAATTTCACCGTTTTCAATCTTAAATGTTGAATTCTGCTTAAACCGGTGATAGGGGGCGTGGACGGTAACTTGCACTTTGCACCAGTGCCGTCCATGAACTGGCTCAATCAAACCGAGCCTGCAACATTTTCAAGTTTGTCGCTTTGGGCGTTCTTTCAGGATTCAGTTTTTCTCTATTTTTATATATACATGTACGTCAATATTTTTATTTCTCAAATATTTTCAGTAACACTACGTGCCTTACGTATTGTATGGAACTTGTAGCGGAACCATGTATGTCAAATGATCACACTGTTCATATTGGTAACGGTGACGCATTGACGGCCGCATATCTAGGACTCTGTGATCAGATCGAGTCTGGTAATTATTTTATATACTATTTATTATAATATTCTTAGTTGAGTTTGCATGCACTGACCAGCTACAGTTGTATTATAGCTACGAACATATAAACGGCAAACTATTTTTTGATCGTTGTATTAGAACTTTTATTCGATGAAGGAATATTTATTAATGAACACAAAAAAGTAAACCTGTGCATCTATTAATTATGTTAATTTTGTATGTGTTTGAATATTTTACAGAGGTCACGGACGCTTTAACTTGTGGTAACTCAGTTGTGAACCAGGACGCCTTGAACGCTATAAGTACGTTCCAGACGTCACTTGAAAATTCCTATGCGACCAGCACTGAGAACACAACGGTGATCTGCACGTAAGTTGTCATGGTAACTTGTCCTCTTATTGTGTTTCCTATTGAAGATCGTTTTTGTAAAGCATTCCACTGTGATATCTTTATTTTGAAGAAATCAAATTTAGAACCCTTCTTTACTTGAGGCCAATTTAACCTGAAAACGCTGTTATTTTTATTAATTTTCGTTGTCCTTTTACAGTTGTCAAAACGTTAGGCATTGGCAATTATCCATTGCCTTTCTGTGCTTCTTTTTTCATTTTTGGAAATAAGTACACTTCTAGTGACTAAGTATTTTGTATAGGAGCCAAAATTCTTTGCAACCATACATGGATTCTAAATTATTTTACATTCAACGTTACTTTCATCAGGTGTTGCTACTTTCATCATTTCATATGTTCTAAACTTGAAATTATATCAAATAACCAATATTAACGATAATATCCAAAAATTACCCCATATATAGTATATATAAACATTTTTTTATATGATCGTTTATAGTGGTTATTTGATAGAATTTTCAAGTTCCTGTGATCTAAATCATAGGCATGAATTAGCCTTTAAATTTATCATCCGAAAATAGCACCTGATAAGTTGAGTCAGCCATATTGTTTCATATACGTCCGATATAAGAATGCAAAACTCATTTTCTCCGAAAACATATCCAAGAATTGTGTTACCTTCAATAATTATATGTATAATATATCAGGGCTGCATGTGTATGTATACATGTAAATAAATATATTCTACACATTAAAGCTGCATGCCTCTAGATGAGCCAGAATATTTCAAGAAAATCAAACTTGAAATGAATGTATTAAGATTTTAAGAAGAAGAAAAATATTAAAGTAATAATTTACATGTTACGTGCGAGGCATGTAGCTTTAAGATATTCCAAATTAAACATTTTTTACAGGGAATGGTTGACCCTTAAAGGGACATTAGACACTTTGATAAATGGAGTGTGTTCAGGGACATCTCTCGCACATTGGCAAAACTTTTTAAACACTGTTTCTCATAAGTGTGACAACAGTCAGTCTGGTACATGGTAAGTTTATGATATAGGTAATGCTATTTAAAATCAACTGAACGAGTATCACTGATGCCAATTATCAATGCAATGAATTATTATGGCGTTCGATCTCAGTATTTTAATCAGATTGCAACAACGTCATCATTGATACCATTTTGGTAAATTCTGTTGAACACTATGAAATAAGCCATACATTTTGACTCCCGTTTCACCAATGTCCATCTATGAAAATTGAATAAATATGTTGCAATGACCAGTGCCGACAGAGTTGAAAAAATTTCTCTAAAACTCAGAATCTGATTGGTTAATTATCTCGTGTGCACGACCTAATTATCTAGTTCCCACGAATTAGTATCTCGTGGCCACGGCATAGTATCGCGTGCGCAACACTTAATTATCTCGTGGACAGGACTCAGTAACTCGTGGCCGCGACTTAATTACCCCTTGGCCACGGCGAACTTTGTAACTCGTGGCCACGACTAAGTAACTCGTGGCTCGTGCGCACCACTTAATTATCTCGTGGCCACGACATAGTATCTTGTGCGCACCCTTGGCCACGACATAGTATCTCGTGCGCACCACTTAATTATCTCGTGGCCACCAGATAGATAAAAAACACACATGTCACCTCTGTGTCACCGTATGACTTGGTCAGAAAGCCACAGAGATTTTTCACTGATTAATGAAAATCCTGAAATTTTAGACAGAGCTACAGAGAAAAGTTTTGTAACACTAGAGGCCAGTTCAAGTGATCTAATGAAGTATGTTTGTAGATAAGAAGAGGCAGAAATAAAGTCACACGTACTAGTACAGAAGAATCCCTACTTTAGACCAACTCAGATTTAAGACCACCCTGCTATTAAGACCATTTTTTAAAAGAATGGAATTTTCTGACCTTTATGTCAATAGTTACATGCTCCAATATTAAGACCACCCCGGTTATTCACTTTTAAGACCACCAGATTCAGTCCCAATTATTTGATTTATTCTTTATTTTAACTCACAATTTAGACCACTGATTTTTAAAGTCAACACCTACCAAGATCACATAATTTTTGTTATTATCTGCTTGAATGCTCTTAGGCATGACACTTGATTTAACAAGGTGTCAAAAACTGTCATTATAGGGTTATTGTATGAAATAATGTGTGAAAATAAATTTTAGAGTTACTGTGGTTCAATGTTGCTTTCAGCACATTTATTTTGTGAGGAATAATTTCTTATATGATAGATGAAATATGTTTATTATATAATAATTAATATTGAAATCAAACAAAAGAGAATTTAGAATTTTAAATTTCTTCAGAAAAAATTTTGCTCTCATCTAATTAATTAACATATATTGTATTTGTAGATTAAGATACATATTGTTTGTTCATTCAAAATGACTAAAAAAGACCATGGTCTTAAAGTATGTAAGCAATGATAAGAATATTCACAATTAAGACCACCTCACAATTAAAATCACTTTGGTCCAGTCCCGATGGCGGCCTTAGTTGAGGGTTTTTTACTGTATATGTTTAAAACATTCTTATATTTTAGAAAATATTTTTTTTATTTGCCTGAACACTCTTGAACGACAAAACATTTACGTGCACAACTGCGGATGATTATGTTATAAATATACATGTATAAAGAAATCTCATTTCATGTATTTTTATCGTTAAGGTACACATCCTATAGACAAACAGCAAACGACAGATGTTCCGGAAGTGGACAACTATTTCCTAATATATACTTTATACTGCTGTTTCTGACAATATTGTTATATTTCATAATGTAACAGTTATTACAAATGTAAAAAAAACCTGGACATTGTGTTTAACATTAGCAAATAGCGTGGCGAATGTACAAATATTTCCAAATATATATTGTGAATATGTTTCTTGAATTTTTCTTGAAATATGTGCGTATTTCTAAAACTGACACCCGTTACGAATATTTTAAAATAATGGAAATTACTGGTATTTTATGAAATATTCCAGCATCATTTTCTACTATTGTATTTTTAGCTCTTCTATTCAATGAATAGGAAAAGTTTTTGTACTCACCCCGATGCCTGCGTCACACTCAGTTTAAGTATTTTTTGAAGTTGGTATGAAAGGGAAAATAGGCTTACAACTTCACACACTTATTTCAGAGTATAATAGAAGCTCAGTGTCAAATGCCCATAACTTTAACGTAGATTTTGACAAACATATGCCCCATATTATGCTCTTAGAAAATTCTACATTATCCAGGCTCTTATTTTACTATCAAACACTGATAACAGTCGAGCACACTGGCCTTCCGACAGCTTTTGCTTATCTCTACAATGAGCTCTAATATAAAATGACGTCACGTTTGACAATTTTGCTCATAATTTGTAAAACTATTTTCTGCATATATAAAAGAATCAAATTGAATAAAAAAAGTATATAAAATTTAATGTGTTTTGAAAGGTTTTTTTTATCTCATGATTTATTCTCTTGAAGTTTTCCTCGCATTTAAATGAAAGTGTTATGCACAATCACAAACTTAAATATATCTTATACTTGGCTTTTCATTGTGAATGAGTAACATTGCTACACAAAGATTAAACCGTTGGAAAATAAACAAATTTTATAGTCGGACAAAATGTTAAAAAAATAATTGTTCATTTAAAAAATAGTGTTCAGCCATTCATTTCTCAACGTTTATCCACCATGGTTGATAGGCTTATAAGACATTTATCCAATATGGCCAAGAAGTCTATAAGACATTTGTCCGCTATGGTTATGAAGTCTATAAAACATTTATCCAATTAAGTCTATTAGACATTTATTCATTATGGTTAAGAATTCTATAAGATATTCATCCAATACATGATTAACTAAATCTGTCAGACATTTATCCGTTATGGTTAAGAAGTGTAAGACATTTATCCATTAATACCGTTAAGAATTCTATAAGATATTCATCCACTACATGGTTAACTAAATCTATCAGACATTTATCCGTTATGGTAAGAAGTGTAAGACATTAATTTTATCCATTAATTAATATGGTTAAGAATTCAATAAGACATTTATCCACTGTAAAGATACATATAGCAAGGATGCAAAAATCAATCCAGTCAGAAGAGCATTATTATTCCAATAACTATAATGCATATTCCAACATCTTTAAAGTCTTCATCAATCATAATTAAAAATAAATACTGCTATTTTGTATATTTACGACATGTACAGTATACATATTTTTGTTTAAGTTTTTAATATGATGCCAGTTCAACCAAATATAATGCCTAGTTAACTCAATGCAATATCAAAATGTTTAAACATATTTTTGACCCAACATGATGTACCACTGACTGAACATTATGATAGTTTGACCCGTATGTCAAACTGACTCAAGGCAATATATATAACAAAATGCATTCTTAACCCAACATTATGTGATCACGGCTTCCATTAAGTTTCAAAATTTGGAAGCCAGAGACTGAAAATGTCTGACATTGGAAGTCAGATTATATAGGTAAAGTAGGAAAATCATTATATTTTGGAAGTCACAAGCACAAGTCAGGAGTAAATGATTCCCGAACACCCACTAATGGAAGCCCAGTGTGATATTGGCTAAAAATTAATGCTAGTTTGACCGAACATAATATGTAATTGGCTCAACGTAATGTCAAGCAGACTTAATATCAACGAGACTCAACCTTTTGTAATTTTTGACTTCAACTTATGATACGTTTACTCACCAAACTGTCAACTTGACTTAATTTACGTAACGTCAACTCGGTTTAATGCCAATTCGACCAAATACAATGTTAATTTGACTGAGCCTAGGCCAAACTTAACTCAACAAAATGAAAACTGGACCATGTGCACATTCGGCTCAACGTAATGCTAGCTGTACTCAACCAAACTTAAAAAAAGCAGTTTGGCGTTCTGTGCCTGTTAGATGAAATAACTGTTGCATGTAATATGCACCTTGCTTTACTGATGATCTCCCCTCCACTGTATAAAATACTAAACCTTTCATGGACAGCACCATACAAGTATTTTGACAGGTTGTCAATTGCTTTGGTTTGTTCGAGGGCAGAATCAGAACGAAATCAGAACGGCACGAGCAGAAAAGCTCGGAGAGGCGGGTAGGAACGGGAGAGTAAGTGATGCATTTCAGGGTCGTTTTTGTTGCACCATGCACTTAAAGATTTTTTATAATAAACATGAAACATGGGAATTATTTAAACAACAGCTACGTTATTGAGGGTTTACTAAGGGCGCCCTCTATATATGCACCCACCCTGAATCAGCACACCCAGCCTGAATCCGCACCCTCACCCTGAGTCCACGCCTGTAGACAGTGATTTGAGTACTTTATATAATACAATATATACGAGAATTTTCAACAAATGAAATTTTCAATTTTCCAAAAAAAAATATATTATTATTGAAAAAAAACAACAACAAACAATACCAAAACAACAACAACAACAACAAACAACAACACCAACATGCATCATTCATCACAATTACTTTAAAAATCTCTGTGATCAAATATATTACAAATCTGAATAGTGAAAATGTTCATAATACAATACGTTTAAGTTAAAATTAGTGTCTGTATACAGTTATCACACACGCATCGAAAAATTAAGAAAGAGCAGCATTTTAATTTCCATTCACTAACGTTGTACGACATATCCAGCAACATTTTCTTTCATATTTTAATGTTTGTCACCCCATGTTTCTCGTGCCGGGCCCGCTGATAAGTACGTCTGACTTGAATTCATATCACCCACAGTCCTGTTTCCAAATATAAACAAGATATATGTAAATTAAAACGATCATACCCATTTTAAATAATTGATTTATATCTTTTGTTGGTAAATAAAGCACAGAAAGCGGCTCTTATTCTTTCACATTATGAACTTTTATTTTGCTTGAACATTTAGTACTGAGTAGTGATAAAAACGAACAGAACTAATAAAAGCCGGATGAATAAATGAGACGGACAACAAAACTTATAACACATATTTTCTTAGTCTTAAAATAGATACTTTAAGAATAAAAATTCCATAAATAAAATACCTAGAAAAGCCATATTCCGGTAAATAAAACAATACATTTTATATTAAATATACTCGTATGTACGAAATAAAGAAAACAATTTTTTCTTCTGAAAATCGATTCCCTCGGTTTAATAAGTCTATGAAGTAAGCACAGAGACCGTTTGTCACTGTTGAGCTGGAATGGGAAAGCTGGCACAACATTCAGCCCTACATTAGATTTATCACTGTTGAGGTTGAATGTGAAGATGTAACGATTTTTGATGTTGAGTTGGGATGTGCAGTTGGCTCGATATTCAGGACAACATCCATACTGACATGCGTTTATGTCTTCTTTTGTTAGTGTCGAGCTTGTATATGAAGCTTGCTCGACCTTTAGCACAACATCCATACTGACATAGTTTACGTTTTTGTCTCCTCTTGTTAGTGTCGAGCTTGTATATGAAGCTTGCTCGACCTTTAGCACAACATCCATACTGACATACGTTTTTGTCTCCTCTTGTAAGTGTCGAGCTTGTATGTGAAGCTGGCTCGACCTTTAGCACAACATCCATACTGACATACGTTTTTGTCTCCTCTTGTAAGTGTCGAGTTTGTATGTGAAGCTGGCTCGACCTTTAGCACAACATCCATACTGACATACGTTTTTGTCTTCTTTTGTTAGTATCGAGCTGATATGTGAAGCTGGCTCGACCTTTAGCACAACATCCATACTGACATACGTTTTTGTCACCTCTTGTAAGTGTCGAGTTTGTATGTGAAGCTGGCTCGACCTTTAGCACAACATCCATACTGACATACGTTTTTGTCTTCTTTTGTTAGTGTCGAGCTGATATGTGAAGCTGGCTCGACCTTTAGCACAACATCCATACTCACATACGTTTTTGTCTTCTTTGTTAGTGTCGTGCTAGTATGTGAAGCTGGCTCGACCTTTAGCACAACATTCAGATTGACATACGTTTTTGTCTCCTTTTGTTAGTGTCGAGCTGGTATGTGTAGCTGGCTAGACCTTTAACACAACATTCAGCAGCACGACATACGTCTTTGTAACATTTATTGAGTCTGTCCATGTGAGAAAAATAAAATCAATTCCTATCTACAGTATATTTAAAAAAAAATACAAATTTATACTTACCGTCGATTCTTCGTAACTTTGTAACATCGTACGTAAACCACGGCAACGGTTGCTATGATACCAACCAAGACTGAACCAACTATGATGCCGATAAGTGCAGCAGACGATAAACCGATGTCGTCATCATTACAGGAAACTAAAATTTGTTAAAACTTTTATTAAAAAAATCCCATTAAATAAAATAATTTTTTTTTAATAATATAGAATTAAAAGGAAACCAACAGAAAAACCGCAGGTAGAAACTTGTCATATTTTTTTAAAAAGACTATTAGTTAAAGCAACACGCTCCTGATTAATGCTTAATTTCATTAAAATTTGAAAATTAAATTAAATGTATATATTATTGTATATTAACCAAAAGGAATCATTTTAAACATACAAACCACGTTTATTACAAAAGAAGGTCAAAATATGCCCCAAAACACCCTTACTGCGTTAGTTATATAGTTACACATAATGAAAAATTAACTATTAATCACTCATAACAGCCATGTAAATTATTACTTGAATCTTGAAGTCTTTCTACTTTGCCTAAAATCTTAGTACATTTTTCACAAGTTTGATTTATTGAAATAGTTTCGCTCATCTGGAGGCATGCTGCTTTAAAGCAACAAAAAACTTTATTCCAATGATTCGAATTAAGCGAGCAACATTCACCACAGTCCGTAACTTAAATGTCAAATGTAAAATAAAACTGGATATTTCACTGTCAAATTTCCAGTAAATTGTAAATTAAAACACATCACACCTTTAGTCCAGCTGTATGGGTTTGTCTGGGAGTCGCACACAAAGCAGTCCGATGAAGTTTGTAGGGTGCTATCTCCCGTAATACAAGATCCACCGATGTAACAGAAATTTTCCTACATGGATGAACAACATATAAGAAAAAAATATAATTTACGTGTGTTTAAATATTTATAGAAAGGGAAATCGATGAATATATCTTTGATAAACTACATTGATAGGAAACTGATTTTCGTGATCTGACTCTTTGACGTTATACTTGACATTCCTTTCCCATATACATTTTATATTTGACAATTAGTCAATTCTTCGACTTAAGCGGAATAAGGCGATTTCGAATTATTGTGAATTTGTAAAGTTGAAATCGTGAAATTAAAATGTGAATTCATAAAGTTGAAATCGTGAATTCGCGCAGTTGAAATAGTGAAGTTCAAAAGTTTCAAAACATTACTTCATGAAGTTGAAATTGTGAATTTATGAAGTTGAAATCATGAATTTGCGAATTCCGTATGTTGAAACAGTGAATTCGCCAAGTTTGCATTGTGAATTCAGGAAGGAAAATTCGAAAATTCATGATGTTTAAATGTCCGTAAGAATAGTTTAACTGTAAATTTCAAATTTTCAATGCAACACATATCTTGCTTTTATTTATAACCAGTGTGACTAAAATTATCTTCTTTTTTGAATCCTACCTCAAGATTAATGACTACGATCTCCCCATCATCGGTGATGACGTAATTCAAACACGTGGAATCATAAACATATACGGACTTGCTTTGTCCGAAGTTCTCTCCGTCGTTACTTATAACAAAGTCAAACACAAGTACAGAAGGTTGGGAATCCTCCGTTGAACGTTTGGAACGCTGGTGAGGTACGCAGCACTCCCCGGTAAATATATCTTCATATTTGCCAACATTAGTAGACTTACCTACCTGTGTTTTTGTGCCATCGAACAACATCTTAAATACAAAAAAGCCTCACAGATTTGTACATTAAACAAAACAAAGAAAGGAACAAACAAAAACAAAGAACAAAAAGTGAAAATTGTGACGTTTGCAAATAAATTATCATAAAAATGATCAATCAAAAGCATGTTTGTCGTAAATAGAAGAAAGTTTATGAGTGTAAATTCAATGCTGAATTTATTTAAAGAGTTGAATAAAATTATATTATGCGATATCGTTCAACAAATTCAAATATGAAACTTTCAGAATATAATATTCTATTTATCAAATGCCCAAAATAAAGACCGTTTAAAGTGAAAAGGACTAATTTTTCATTAACACGCCTATAGTAAAACAATAAAATTTAGCACTCATTTACAATATGTTTGTATAACGCAAAAGACGCCACGTCAAAATATATGGTCTAAAAATACCAAATGTTACGAAGTCGCAAAAGAGGCACCATTATGTGAAAACATATCTGCAGGCCTATTATCAAGGGACGTTTTTAATTTATTGTATTGCCAAGACAAATTGACTAAAAAATCTAAACATGTTTTACATAACAAGTAACACAAGTAAAATACATGTACCTCAAAAGTTGTTATTTCGTATTTGAAGCCATCAAATATGTTATCAGTTCGTATAACAAAACAATCACATTCATTCCCATCAGCTGTATCACATAAACCACCGTCATTTATGTCATAGATAATTGGTGGAATTCTCAAATCTATACTACAGTCAGGTCCACGGAAAACATCTTCACAACTGCACAATCCTGTATTAGTACGAAAATTTATTATTTTCATTTGTAATTAAGTTTAATTGATTAATCTTGAAATCTTATACATGTTATTATGAAATAAAAACACATTATAAAATTAACACATGTCTCTCAGAGTAATAGTGCATAATAACAACCCGAGAACTGATATAACACTCTGGCAGACATGTTATCGCTTATTATTCCGGAGAGAACATTACGTTTCCTTAAGTCTATTATAGTAGATTACTCGCCCCAAGAAAATATTGCAATTCATATAGAAATAACACAATGTGACATCACAGTAGACTGTATATTAAATGGATACATGAAGTATTATTATGATGGTCCGGTATTATGATATAAAAACATGTCTGTCAGGGTCATAGTGCATATAAGCAATCCTTGAACTGAAATAACACCCTCCGCCTCTGATGTTATATCAGTTCTAGGATTGCTTATAAGCACTGTTATAATACTGCACGATTACGCTGAGTGACTTGTGATATTTTTGCATTGTTACCTTACACCAACAAGTCAATTGATAGATTATCGAACACAAAGTAATAACACTTACTATCATTTTAATCCATACCCTGTAACAAATTAATGTTTATCAATTCGAATCAAGATTAAAGAATTAAAAACAACAACAACAACAAAAACAAACAAACATTGACCTGAATCGGAGCATACTCCATGTCCACTACAGTTATTTGTACATGTCTGTGACAGGAATGCTTTTACTGTTTCAGAATTGTTGGCAGCAAAATCAGGACTCAGACTGATCACTGTTGATGCTATACTATTGAGAGCATCGACATGTGCTGACGCCCATACTGTACTGTTACCATGCTATAATGTTAAATAACCAATTAAGTTATGTAGAACATCGGTATATAGTGATGCCCAAACTATATCACAAATGCATTACCTAATGCCTTCTATAAATAATAAGACCTTATTTACAACTATTTTATTGAACAGCTGAAATCTGTTGCCCCGAGGTATCAGGCATGACACATGGAACTAATGGTACTGTAAAACAATGTTACATAAACTTCTAATGTTGCTATAATATAAATCAAACTTTATTAAATAAGAGTAAACTTACAATAATGTCATACACGCATTGGTCAAATACAATGTTTGTGTCTTCATCTCCAAGCTGGTCCGAGAATTCTTTGACGGATGGGGCTCCAGTTATAGAGTTGTTACATTTTTCACGAGCTTTATCGTCTGAAATGTCCCCTCCAGTACTTCTCTATTGGATAAAATTGGGAAATTGGTATTAGATTTCCATTTTTACTTAATACATCATTGTAAAGGAGTTTTTGTTTCCATTTGAAAACTGTTGTGGCTTGGTGATAAAGATTTTCGTTTAATTTCATTGTTCAATAACTCTGTGAAGGTATTAAAAATGTTTTTCTAATGATCTGTAAAATATAAGTTAATCTCAATTAATGCGTATTTATCAATTATTCAACGGAAGTGAATAGATGAAAACAATCAAACTGCAAAGCGAGCCTAAATATCTAAACATATACGTAGCATGAATAGATAACACATCAACAGTTATTTACTAATTATCTTATTATGCATCAATGTATTTTGTAACCATTGTAATCATATGAACTTACAATTTGTGCATTGAGTTACATTAATATGTTGCTTAGGCAACTAACCTTATCTCTCATGTTACTTGACTTTATTTCTTTTCCAATTCTTGTGACGACATCTCGCCGTTTTCTCTTCTCTCCGCCAAACTGACATTTATTCTTAGATATCGAGTTACCGTTCGAACAAGCTTCATCCATGGATGCTCCATTGTTAACATTCCATTTCTCTAAGACTCGGCTTTCATTATGTAAGAAGTTTTCCTCATCTAGTAATCTATTTTTATAAAGTGATACTTCAGACACACTAATATTTCTAATATAAATCAATGTAGAATAGATATATAAATAAATGTAGGATAAATATATAAACTAATGTATAATAGGTAGAATAGGTATATACATTCATGTAGAATAGATATATAAATTAAAATAGAAATATAATTTATTGTGAAATAGATATATAAATCAATGTAAAATAGATATATACAGGTATGTAGAAAAAATGAAGCAAAAATATTCAGAACATCACATCTTTCGATGAAGAATAAACTTGTCAAAACATTTTGTGCTTTCACTTATTTAACACTTGGGAAAAATTTAATTGAGACAAGTTTTAAACAATAACAAATAGGAACTTAATTATTACAGTTTACCTCCAACTTTTTATAAAGTCAGTATAACCATAATAGTCATTGGATGGGGATGATTGGGAGCCATCTCTGTGCCTAAAGTCATTATTTCTATCTCCATCAAAATATCCACAAAGTCCGTCAATGTTGTGGAAATCTTTGGCAGATAAGTAAATATCAATATCCATCGTCCGCCCCCAGGAGTGAAGGTTTACAATTATCACAGTTCCTATTGGTGTTATTACCTACCAAACATACAAGGAACTTATTTACATCACAAAACTGATTTCATTAACCTGCCAATTGCATACTGATTATAACAATATATTAATCTTCACTAGATTTTTCAGCACGTTCCGTGAGATGTACGCAGTAAGCTGTGATGTAACATTAGTTACATATACTCCATAATATTTCTTGTAAAGGGACAGGGAACATAAATTTAGCAATTTTGTAGTTCAGTGTTGCCAGTCACACAATTCCATATATTACAAAATCTATTACACAGACAGAAAAAGAGTTGCACAGCATTATTCAAGGATATGATATACATTGAAGAAAACAATAGTTGTATACTATTATCCTAAAATAATGACTGAAAGCAATTTATATTTACTCCCACCTAACAAAAATCACAGCTGAAATATACCAATATGGACCATCTTCATGAAGGTGAGGATACTCCAGAATTCACCCGATTCCTTTAAAAATATCACTTACACACAGTGCAATCAATGGCAATCTTATAAATGTCAAATGAACTGTCAGTTATACGTTTAGATTTTTCACAAAAGTTATCCGAAGTTTCTCACTTCTTTGGTGCCAATTGTCAATGCTTAATTTTTAAAATTTCCACCTTCATTCGGAGGGTTACGAATACATGGAAAGCTACCAAAATGTTCAGTTCCGGATAAAACCTCAAAAATACTGCTAATTTCCTACACACAAACAAGAAAGAATAACAATGACAGAGAAATATCAAGTTTTCAGTACCTTCAAAACACCATGTCTATGTGATACATAATTTGACATAATTCGAATATGTCCCCTGCCCCCTTAAACTACACGGACAGAACCGGAGAGGGATCGAATATTTAAATGAGTGCTACAATGTATTAATAACTGCCAGGTCAATAAAATCAGACTATACTAAATCTCAATTGCAAAAAAATAAAACATAAATCAGTGACATCATGAAAACAAACGTAAGTCACACTCAATTGCATTTCAATTATTTTCAAATATGAAACTCATAAAAATTTAAAAAATATGCAAAAGAAAACAATATTCTTACAAGAACTAAATCCTAATTACAGACACATTTAGGCATAAACAAATAATGCATGTTATAAAACATACATGAAACTTAATTGCATACGGTTGATCAATATTCTCCGAGACAATAGGGGACATATTATATACAGCATCATTGCAAATTTAGAAATAGTACACGCAAGATGGAAATTACAAGCCCCTTAAGGTTTTGACTTGCTGTGAATACGACAGTTTACAAGTCGAATCAAGTACAGATCAGGTGTACCTATATTTGGGAGCAACCATTTGCATATTTGATTATCAAATATCATATACATGCTTATTATTGCCGTAAAGACCAACAGATAAGGCTCATTACAGACATATATATTTAAATTATGACCTTTATTTAGCACCATCAAATAAAAGTACTTTTGTCTCGACAACAGAGGTGTGCTCCCTTTTTTGAAGGTGCAATTATATACAATTATTCCCTTGAATTCCCCAATTTAATGACCCCCTTAAAAATATTCAAAGTTCCTGAATGTTTCAGCAGCACATGACAAAAAGAAACCAAAACCTTGTAACGATAATCATGAATTCGCTGAACATCAATGATTCCTCCATCATTACATTGTAAGAAGTCTAATATCGTGTAGTTGCCACATCTGTTAATTACAAACACATCGGCTCCTGACCTGATGGCTACACCACAAGCACACACTGCTCCGCCATTATTATTACAGTATCTGGCATACTCATGAACCTTTAATGTTAATAAGATTTATCTATCAAATTATAAGTTATAAGTATAGAGTGTTTGTTGCTGAAAATAACACGTTGTATGGAAAACCACATTTTTGGTGTACTTAATGATAACCGGTCGTTCTGCTGTATAAGATAATTAAAACATTTAAAGATATTCCTGTCCTTCATTTTCAAATTGATAATAAGGATTAAGCTTAATTACACCCCTTGCTATAATAAACATATGCATCATATATACATTGATAATATTAACATAACTTTTGTCAAATGAAAAGTGTCGTTATATAAATATATAATACTTATAGATTTGAGATTATACCTCAAAAATATCAATCAAAAACCTACCTCTGTCTGATATTCTTTGTTTCTATAAAACATGTGATCACCGACCAATTGTTGCCCGAAATACCTATACAAACATACAAAGTACAACCTAAGTCTAGTGTTTATTTTTAGGTATATGCAAATTATATCAAGCATTTAAAACAGTTATGAAATATAAGTTATAAAATCCCTGTCTGTATATTCTGTACATGTTTAAGAACTAGTACGTTGCTTGTGCTTTCATACAAAAAAAATCATTTCATTTAAAAATAAATCAGCATCGGCTGCTTGAGCAGAATTCAGCATTTAACATGAAATGGTAAAATGTTGATTTTGGAAATATCCTCTGATGCGTTAATGCGGTGGCTATCATGGAACCTTCAATGTGACATGTAAGTGACATTCCATGAAGGGCGGCGTGTTATTCGCAATTAAATGAATACGAGAAAACAATGGGCGGAACTAAATAAATTGGAATTTTGAGAGGGTGACCAAATGTTATGAAGCATGATATCACAGACAAGACGTCAAAATACAAATTTATAAAGCAGACAAAACATCCTATAGGTGATTAAACACTATTCAAATAAGAATTACTGGAAGCATCCAACTGGCTAAAAAGCCAAATAGAAATAACTAAAAGTACCACAGACATAATAATAATTTCGTGTTGAATATCTCCATGGATGGGAAATATACGATCTCTGATTGTATTCACGGGGAAACATGTTACGACTTTTTAAATACCAGGGCTAGTTTCGTAGAAAGTCTTAAATACATCCTTAGTCTTAGGATATAAAACCAAGTTTAGGACCAACTTTAGACCGCTGCAATAAAACTTTTATCTTCGCTTAAATACTTACTGTAGGTTATTATAAATTCATATTCTTGAGCAAAGTTAAGAAACACATTGACAGATCATTTTATTTACAATGTGAAATTAAAACACTCATGAGATAGGAGTCATAAGTTAGGACATTTTCTTTGAAACGTAAAATTGTCTCAGTTTTGGTCTTATGACTGATTTCAGACTCAGAACATTCTAGGAAACGCATCCCTGTTACCTTATCTCTTCTTATTATTAATTATCTACACTAACCTTCCGTCCGCGGTTCGCACGTGGGGATCAGCATGCGAGTAGCAGCGTTTGTATCTATGCAATGCCGAGTGTGTCACCTCAACCTTTATATTAAATCAGAATATTGTTTATCTAAACTTCGAGGAAAGATAGATGTTTACGGTTTTATAAGAAAAAAATAACATTACATTCTTACAAAAACAGCAAAAACAATTAAACAAAAACCACCAAAGACATACATCCCGACTATTTTCCATGCATTGGTATCTATATAGAAGCACGAAAGTGTGTACTTCATAAAAAAAATGTAACATTATAAAAAGTTAAAACGTAATAACTAATTTCAAAGTATTTCGACATTAAAATAATACGATCTTTAAATTGAATTGATTTTATTCTTACCGCAACAGTTCCAATGCGCTAAAATATATAAAGATATACAATATATAAAATACTATTGATTTATAACATAAAATATTGATATGGATGATTGTAATTTTAAAATTTCATGAAAGTAATTAGTTTTATTTTGATTTAATAGCTGAGTTACCCAAATGTCAAACACGAATATTTGTTAATCATACTGCTTTACACCTAGTTCTCTAAAATTATCAATCATTTGCCGATAAAAAAAAACGTCATTGAAAACTTTGTTACAAACACCTCCATGTATAAGTCAACAATTTTATATTACCTTGGTTTCTTCCAATTATGTCAATACATACTTTGTAACAAGCAACTCGATGTATGAACAATTCAATTATAGTTTACCTCTTTATTTACCAACTCTTACAAACACCTCTATTTATACGCCAAAAATTTTATCTTACCTCAATAATAACAAATTATATTGCTTTTGTTTAAAGCACCTACATGTATAGCTCGCCAATTTAATATTACAACTATCAGTTTTGTATGAAGCACCCTCATATAAAGCTCGACAAAATTATGTTACCTCAGTATTTACTACTTCTGTCAGTTCAGACTTTGTTATAAGCAGCTCCATGTTAAAGTTCAGTTTGTCATCGTAGTCATGATCTATTGTAGTTAATCTAAATCTATACTTGATGCTGGAGTTCCAAACATCACCTACCATCAAACTCTAAATAATGTAGAAAAAGACTCATGTTCAATACAGAAAAGTAAAACATACTACTCATCAAAGTTTGATAAGGACCACTTTTGTAGTCTGTTATTATTATTGATTAAATTTCCACATTGAAAAGTTTATGATATATTATGGTTTCTTTCTATATAACCAATGAATTAGTCATCTAAACTTAATAATTGGACTTCAACATGAGTGTAAAATGATCATAGCGGAAAAACTTGAAAATTCGTAAACTGCTTGAACTTTGTAAAAGTAGTTTTTTTTCTAAAGTCTACATGGAATAAGTTCAAAATATTGTATAGTGTTCACATATCAGTATTTCCCTCGCTATAATATAATGGGTATAACACATACTCTTTATTGTGGTTTAAACCCCTGTGACACTAGAACGGCGTTCTCACGGCGTCAAAAGACAATTCAGAATGCTGAGATGAGCGCAGAAAGATCGCAAACATCGCCACAGCATCGACACAGCATCGCCTCAGCATCGTAGTGGATTCGCAGAGAACTCCGACCAACGGCGCGCATTTTGAGCATGCTCAAAACAAACGCTGTCACTCGACGTTCTGATAAAAGCGCAGTGGGATCGCAGTTATGACACATTAATAACTCTGTAGCATCTCCTACAACGCATATGAGCGCCGTGAAAGCGCAAAAGGAATGCCGAATGAACGCGGTGGTTATCCACGGCGCTTGTACGAAGATTGTGCGGCGTCTCTACCGCACTAATACTGTGTGCGCACGGCGCTTTGAAGGAGCTACGATTTCAGCGCAGTTTGAGTGCCGAAAGGGTGCCGTAAAAGCGCAGTGGAAGAGCAAAGAACACAGTAGAAGTGCAATCCGAATGGAAAGAATCGCCAATTGAAACGCCGTAGAAGCTCTGTAACATCGCCATGACCGCCGTTAAAACGCCGTGAAGTCATAAAAAATATCACATTTTTCTTGCGATCTCGCAGCGCGTTATTAAAATTAACACCCACATGCAAACGCAGTGAAAGAGCAGTCTATTGTGACAGGGCCTTTACATTTAAACCATTATCATGACATCATCATATATTTTCTTATTCATTGGCGAGGCAGCTGACAATAAAATTTTGCAAAAGAAATAAATATCATATAAGTCATCATTAAAAAAGATTTACTTTAACACGATGATCGACAAATCGTAAAAATCAAGAAGTTAATAATTCATTTATAACCTGCAAAGAATTTTGTGCACCTACCGTCAAGAAGTTATGTGTAATGTTATTGTTACGAACCTTTATTGTATGGAAAGATGTTTTATTATTATCATCGTTCATCACGTGTATTCCAGCCTTGCATGCATCAGTTTCACGGTTAATATCTAAAAGTGAAAGAGTTTCCTCACAAAATCCCTCTCCAGTATTGGTATACGTACAACCTAAAGGTACTGTCTGTTCAACTTCAATAATTATATAACCATTCTTTGGAAGTCCTCTGGATGTGTCTGAAATCTGTACCGATCACATAAGATGATATTATTTTATCATAGTTTAGAGACCTTTATATTGAAAATGTGTCCGAGTTAAATCGTATAACCATAAATGCACAGCGCGTTTACTGGAATGCAGGTGTAAGTCGGGGATAAATACAGAGCATGCTCGTTGATTTGGATTTTCTTATTATGATAACAAGGACAGGGATAATAATCTTGTTCCTATGTTCTTTTATTCGTTCATTTTTTCTGGGTTTGATATTGTCACGATAGGGAAATTGATTTGATACAAAAGAGAGACCAAAAACAACATCAAAACAATCGGCAGTCTGGGTTACGCTCCCCCATTCAAATCTTTTAGCGTCGTGTTTCGATAATCTTTCTATTACCAATTTTATTACTCTTGCCATGTATGTGTATCAAGAAATTAATATGTCTTGTAAACCATTCATATCACATTCACAGCATACGTAATTAAGTATGCCCGGAAGGGAATACATACCTAAATCATAACTTTTAAAAGTTGTAAACAAATTTTTCATTTAATGTTTATACAAATTATAAAGTTGATATATTACCTTCCAACCTGCGAAAAAGGTATTGCTCAATTTTTCATCTATTGTCCCATCTGCAATGACACCGCATTTCAACTAAAACGAAATGTTTAATTCTCTTATTCAAAGACATTTATAAAATAAGTACCCAATATCGTTAATAGTTGAGTTAGTTCTTTTAGGAAATGAAATGAACGCAACAACTATTTGTGAACTCTCAAGTCTTCAAAATACAGTACAACTTCTAAAAAGCAACACCCTTTGGGTGAAAAACAATTTGGTTGTTTTTGACCGGTGTTGTTGAAGAGAAGTAAAAGTTATATTGAATTGCTACTCTAGAAAGAAATTTCACTGCTGTTACAAAGTTGTTCTACAGTATGGTGCTCTGCTTCTTGTAGCAATTATAATGATTCAATGTATTCATCTTGTTTAAAATATTTAAGATAAAAGTTATATATATTGTTGTTGTTTTTAATCAACATAACCGGGAGCACAGTATCACAACCTAACATTAAGCATGGGATGTTTTTTAAAGTGTGGACATCTAGACAACAGTTAAGCGACCCATTTATCGTATTTACGATCTTTAAGGAACATATTATCAAATATGTATATTGATTATTTATGGCAGATTTATAGACAGAAAAATAATTAGCCCCTAATTTTATCTACCTCATATCCGCGTCGTAATTGATTTAAAGAATCTCCGCTTAATACAAGGTCATCCGGATTAGATGAAAATCCTGTCTCACTCCATAGTGTTCCATTGATATACCTTTTTGAAAGAGATGTATATAGGACAATGTATGATGCACTGAGAGAAATAAAGAATTTGAATCTTTTCATATACATAGTATTGTGATCATTTACACAATTAAGAAAACATGTTTATCATTTTTAAACAAAACATCGTATATTTTCAACACTAAATTTTTTCTTCACAATCAACGAATTGTTCCACTGTTTCGTTAAACCCATTTTGCCATTTGCAATCATTTTTTTCAATCAAATATAAAAATGATTGTTACCATGTCACTTTGTATTCTGTATTGTCAGTCATCTCAAATGAACATCTGAACTGAATGTATGGTCTATATATAATTCTATCATCACTGACTCTGTCTTCTTTATGTTTTATTTCTGGTATTACCTTCACATTGTTGTAATGAACTGACAAAATATGTATTTTATTATTGTCATAATTATTGTCATTACTACTACTACTACTACTATTATTATTATTATTATTATTATTATTATTATTATTATTATTATTATTATTATGTAATTAAGGTTTTAATCTTGATTTTATTGTTGTATTGATTTTATTTGATGTTCTTCGTCAGTGAATGATAATAGAAAGAGCATCGAAACACGAGGCTATCTGATATGTACGAGGAGGTGTAGCCCGGGAGTATAAATCTGATTGACGTTTGTATTGATGTTCTTTCTGTTTTGTATCATAGGCAAAAATAAAAACACGTTCCGTGCTGCACAAAATTAAACCCAAGAAAAATGTACGATCATCTGAATATGTCTTTTAAATCGTTAACTAATCTATGGTAACTAATTTACGCACTGTGAATGTTTTCGTATAAGATTTAACTCCGACATGTTTTCATTATCAAAGCAATAGTAAAGTCTCAAAACTATAATACAAAGCAAGGATAACGATCCCTTGTATGCAAGGCATCATTTCGGTATTTTCTTTAATAAAGCCAAGAGTGGAAAACACGTTGCGAAAATAATCTTAGAAAGGTTAAACACTAAAGCGGCTTCTTGTTCATGATATTTAACTTGACTTTATCGGACGTGAAGGCATAGAATCTACTTACTGAAACACAAATGGTTATAATGGCGAAAATATGTTACATCAAACTGGATTTTCCCATCACATTTTCTGGCATAAACGTAACTATCACAATACTCGTCATAATAATATTCCCCATCAATATAGTTGTCGTAATAATCATAGTCGTAGTTGTAGTATTTGTATACATAGCAAAGTGCATACTTGACAGGAATATTCTCTGGTATATCTAGAGACATTCTCTCTGAAAATAAATGAGACATTGATATATTTTTTAATTACACGCAGTTAAATGATACTTGAAAATATCAAATTAACTTTTCGACATCCCTCAGCGACCGGATAATGAAAGCAATAACAAAATATCAGCATTAAATTCAAAGCATCTGATAACTTAACATATAGACTGTTATTAACATCAACATTTTAGACTATCTATTAACTTTGTTTAATTGTCACGTAAGTACGAATAACATGGATCATATGTGCTGTAAGTACTTGACTAATTTAGAAGTGTACCTTTCAGAAAATAATGTTCGCGATTACCTGCACATCCTTCGTAAACGTCATCAACATCGTCATAGGCAGGCAGCACATACTGTTTCCCGTTTTGATGAGCGTCTAACCATCCAAGCTGGATACTAGTATATGTCAAGTTTAGGAACCTATCTGTCACATTTCCAGCAGAGTAAACAAACTCTGATGACTTGCAAGCTGAAAATGATGTTGTTTGTTCATCGTTATTCATATCTAGGTTTTATAACGATCTTATATTTTATGGTCAATATTATCAACTTGGGTTTTTTACAGTTTCTACTTCACTTTATAACATATTTAGGTTAACAGGCTTTACTATGCACTTTCAACAAAAGTGTTCTGTATTGATGTTTATATTATGTGTTGATTGGTTTATCCGTTTTCTCAACAAAGCTTAAATGACATAACAGTGTATGGTCTATTTACACTGTGAAGTTATTTACTGAGGATATAAAGACCTATATGAGTCGGTATGCGAGGGTTATATTGCAAATAACTGTTTTTATATACGGTCTTATAAGCTGGCAGGAATCTCAATAACAAATGTTTAATACCGCAGATTTCCTTTATCAAAATAAAAAAATTCATAAATCGACTGCAGCCGTGTATATAAATTATCTAACGTCACGATTATCTAATAAAAAAAGACGTTACAAACGTGCAGTATTATAAATGTCTATAATATACAGTATAATGAATGTTTAAAGAAATATATAACCATTTCAAAAAACGTTTTATTTTAGAAAATGTTATTTTATATTTTTACTTTATACTTACAATCCGTATATACTCTTTCTGCAAGATAATAAATGAAAATTAAGACAGCAGAAAATGTAAACCTTCGTAAAATTATACTACACTTAACAAAAGTTCTAACCGATCACTTTTTAAATTTTAATTATTTTATAACGGGTCAATAGATCCTTATAGAATTTTGCAGATGTGATTTTTGTGTCATTTTCTACCGATTTGTGGAAAGAAAAGTAATTTAATACGGTTCCATGCACTCACGCGGGAGACAGGGCGCGGTTTACACATTTTGGCACGAAATGTTTGTGCAGAGCGTGGTGAGCATTAAATTTTACATTGCATCAATCCTTGTAAACTTTATAAGTGAAAAAAACCCATAAAATATGGCACGAATGTCGATGCAGGATCGTGTCGTAGCAGTTGGAATGTTGAATGCTGGAGCCTCTATCAGACAGGTTAGTGGCTGTTCATAAGAATATTTTTTAAAAATATCGATCAAGTATTATCTAGATAGAAAATGTTATAATTTTATTATTCTCAATGTGTCCATTCTCCTCGAAATAAAATAAAAGTCGGATCTATTGGTATTATTCTTTTTCATATATAAGAGAAAACTCAGGGTGATCGGTTAGAACTTTTGTTCAGTGTATATCCACTAACGAGCTTGCGCATGACCTCCGTGATTTGTCTATTGACATAGATTATATTGGAGGTTTGAGATGTACATATTTTTTACATTTAATATAATAAAATATCTAACAGTTATTATGATTATATAGTTTATCGTGAGAACTCATGTTTTACAATTTATTATTTTTATAAAGAAAAAAAAAATAAAGTATACCAAAACAAACGAAAGAGTTATAGTAAATGTTGGAGTAAGGATCATAGTCATGGTCATAGTTCCATTGAAATCTGTATAGTAAGTGACCGTTACAAGTTCTCATTTCTACAGTGATATTGCTAATGCATTCTTCAGTGTGATTCCATATGCAAATTTCCGCCGTAACGACATCCTCTCCTATATCCTCTATATCCACATGCTCTCCTGATATGAAAAAAAACATCAACATATTTATCATAGTTAAGGAACCTTTCTGTTGAAAGTGTAAGAGTAAAATCGTATACATATACATGCACAGTGCGTAAACTAGAGTGCCCTCCTGAGTATGCATTTTGAGTGGTTCTTTTTTCTGGAGTTTACTAAATGTGACGATAACGATAGAAATATCATACTCAGATGATCGTACATTGGTTCCTTTTGTCTGGAGTTTCATATTATGACAACAGGGAACTTGTATTTATTTTGCCTATAATACAAAAGAGAAAGAACATCAAAACACTCGGCAATAAGATATATGATCAGATAGCCTCGTGTTTCGATGCTCTTTCTGATAGTTGAAAAATTTAACTTGTAAACTTGTTTTATCTACCTTTTAACAAGCTTTTTGATTTTGAAATGTTCTTTTTTGCTAAAAAAATACTGACCTGTTTACTAGAGTTTTACATATTTTCGTGAAGTTAACCAGATAGCCGAAACAGCCGTAAAACATTTTGTCTTGTCCATGGCAGATGTTAAGGTACTCCGGCTTGCCATAACCCGGTTCCGACTGAATCGGCTAGCCAGAAATAATACAGTTAAACACGTGTCAAAGGTAATTGGTTTACTCATTAATGAAGTTTCAAATTAGTTATTGCCTCGGTCTCTGGCTATTCCGCAAAACCAGAATAACCGAAATCAAGACTACTTATGGTAAAAAAAATTCGTTGACAGATTTCAGAATATGAGTTTCGTGAATGTCAACTGGTATATAGTGTCCGTCGGATACTCTAGTATCTTACCGTCGTTGAGCCGAAAATCTTCTATAAATGGCCATTTTAGCTCATATCTTACTTGCGGAAGTGAGCCACAGCCTCAATTCCGTAGAACCCTATTCGGTGGTATGGTAAGTGGGTCTGACAGCTTTCCGCTAGTATAGGTGTGTCTCTCGAGAATACTCTGGTTATTTTGACGACGTAGAAAATCGTACTATAAATGGTCATTTCAGCACATCTCGCCATTTCCGACTGGCCAATGTGAGCCCACGCCTTAATGCCGCAGAGACCCATATGATTGGATGGTTAGAGGGTCTGACAGTGTCCGCTGGTATAGGTCGGGAAAACTGAGGCATGCTGCCTCCTTATGTACAAAATACATTTTCAATTCCGCAATGGTAACATTTGTTTTACCTTTTTCCAATTCTATAGAACTTAACCTTGAGTTATTACACGAGATTTCGATATTTTTATAAATAATATAACTATCTATCAGCTATTTTTGTACCATATGTATACTTTAAAAGTAATGACTGTATTTATGACAATTACATTTATTATTTTCTGCAATTAACTTTCCTACTCAAACTCTGTGCATGTGCAATAAAAATAACATGAAAAGAGGTTGTACGCATCTCAATTGTTCACTCCAGCAACTTTTCAAATCGAACCTGCTCCATAAAAACATGCATTTATGTATATGATAGGTTCTCCATTTCCCATTCAAAATATAGACAAGTTTGCTTCTTTAAAAAGAAGCATGCGAGAGGTCTTTATACAGCTGTTGAGGATTTATTAAATTGTTCAAATGGCGGAAAAGTAAGAATTTCTGTTCTGCGGACAATAGTAACATTTCGGCTATTTCCATTAGTCTCTCAGATAAGAAATAATCGGCGAGACGTTCTAAAGTTAAAGAAGCAGCGAAATGTCCATACACGGTTCACTAGGTCATATTATAGTACTTGATTTGTTACGAAATTACTCTCTTTTAACAGAAATCTGTCTATACACGTTTTCGCTGAAAATATCTTTCATTTAGAATTCTATGCGTCCAAGTGAAAGCATGATAATTAAATCAATTAAAAATTAAAGTTTTGCTTTGCATCATCATTATATACTAGCAACAGTCTAAAAAAAATTAAACACTTTAACTACAAAAATTCAACTCAACAACAGCATCTCTTCAGCTCTTATAAACTCAAAGAGCCCCAACAAAAGATTTCAGCTAATAAACCCTTTTGTTGGCGCACACAGCTAGCGTTATGTGCAAAAATGTACTGGATCGCGACATACTTGCAGAAACCAGTCTGACCTGAATGCTGCGCGAGCTGAAATGCCTTAAAATTATCAAAATGGCGCACAAGTGGTTCAGGTATACGTATGCAGACTGTTCTGCAATGCATAAATAGGTACACAAATACATACACATATATGTTTACTCAATAGCATTACATTTGTTCAAGTTTAAACATAGTTTATTTCAAATAAGTTCACAGTATATACTACTATGCAATAATGTACACAATACAAACATGAATTGTTGAAAAAGCAAAATTTTGACCCAAGGGTCTAATTCAAAACAATCTCGATACAGGTCCACCAAACAACATTTCATGTCAAATATCTAAGCTGTAGCTTTTCCAATTCAGAAAACATTTGTTTTAGTTCCTGTTTTTACTATGTGTACATATTGAGAATCAATGCGCCCGGGAAGGGCCAATTTTGACAGCAGGGCAAAAATTTGAACAACTTTTGTAGAGGACCTATAGATGATATTATACAGCAAACATCAAAGCTCTATACCTTGTACCTTCAGACAAGAAGATTTTTTAATTTTTTACTATATGTACATAGTGAAAATCAATGACCCCCGTTGCGGGGCCAATTTTGACCCCAGAGCTATAATTTGAACAATCTTGGTAGAGTTTCACTTCGTAAAGTCTCATGCCAACTATTTAACCTCTAACCTTTGTCAATTCAGAGGAGAAGATTTTTCAAGTTTTTACTTTATATATATAAGGAAAACTATCGCCTTTGGGGCTGGGGAATTTTAACACTAGGGGAATAAATTAAAACAACTTTTGTAGAGGACCCAAAGATGATATTATATACCAAATATCAAAGCTCTAAGCCTTGTACCTT